ATTCCTGCTCATCCTGAAGCCCTAGCACTCCGTGCTTTTAGCCCCGAGCAAGCCCATTAGTTTCCTATTCCAAGGAAGAGCTGGAGGCTAATGAGTTTTCCCTCTGATTGGGGTGGGTGCTCAGCTGTGGGGCTCAGCTGGCTGGCGGCTTCGCTGTCCCCAGGGTGCTGCGATGTGGGGCCAGCACCTGGGCTGCATGCAAGGGGCTGAGCCAGAGCTGCCCTCTGCACTGCAGAGCCTCGTTTGTGTTATTACGTCCTGACTTCATGAGGAAGGCTTGACTTAACCATTATTTAACAGAGACCAAATTTTTAGGTTTCGAGAAATACCCACAAACTTCCCAGGTGGGATGTTGGGCTATCCCGGCTCCGAGGTTCTGCCTGAAGCAGTCGTGCTCATCCCGCTCCACGTGAGCAGCTAGACGTTGTGCACCATAAAAACATGCGTGTAAATGGGTGCCACTTTTCACCCTCGCAGCAGACGGAGCAGGTTTGGGGTGAAGATGAAGCTCTAGTGAAGCAGTCGCTGCTGTCTGCAGAATAATCCCGCGTGGGGTTCGCCTCGGCTTGCGGGACTGGTATCCGTGGGCTGCTCCGTGTTTACGTACACAGAGCCCGCATGGCACAGCGAGGAAATAGCATCAGATTATACACACAGCTGGTTAAAATATTGACTTTTCTGACCGGCTTCACAGTGTGTTTTTTCTCCTGTAAGGAGAGCTGTGTAAGTGGAGTGATTCATGCAGCTGTGCAGCCCTGAGTAATGTTTGCAACGGCTTCTGAGCTGACACACAGACCGACCCAAACCCTGGGTTGGATTCCAGCCTGCCCAAAATCTCCAAGTCTTGGGTCAGGATGGGAGACAAAACTACAAGAGCCTTCATTCTGTTTTCATAGAAAACCCTTTAAAAACAGCTGATGTCATGGGAATTTTGCTTTCTAGATCCCAAAGTTTTGATCTCTGAGCCTTGCTCTGCTGTTGCAGAAGTTATCCCATGCCCACGTCACCCCAGGGCAGTGGTTGTGCAAGGGAGACCCTTTGGGGACAGGCGATGCTGCTCCATCAACGTCTGCAGCGGTGGGCAGGGCTGGCAGCGATGCCCCCAGCACCACGTGGCAGCCCGCTGTGTTCAGAGCATTCGTATTTCTGTATTTCTGACCCGATCTCCTGCTGTAAATCTCAGTCGTGCTCTGCTTTCTGCAGCAAGTGAAACTGGAGGAATTCGGGAGGCCCAAGATAGACGGTGAATTGAAGGTCCGCTCCATAGTAAACCATACGAAGCAGGACAGGTGAGTGAGCAACGACGTTCTGCTAAAAAACAAACCAAGGGAGTGATGCAAACAGCCGAGAGCAGCAGGGTCCTTCAGTGCGGTTATTAATTATCCCT